CTTTGCCCGAGAGAGATTTTCTTCAGTCACAGTTCTGGTTCACCCAAAACAGCCAGAAGCTTCGCTCCCAGTAGCAGCTGACTACAACTTTGCGAAGTTTAGAACAAGTTTAGTTGTTTTGGGGTTTTGTGTGGTTTTGTTTTAATCATTGTGAAAACCCAAACAAAAAGAAATATCCTTGCCAAATCCAAGATCCCTTTTCAGAATAAAACGGGTCATAATATATTTTCAAGAGTCACCAGAACTTGTTTTGTTCGGGGGTTTTTTTGTTTGTTTGTTTTCTTGATAGGGAAAACCAGCACCTTTCTCAGCAACACAGGTGAACTTCTCTGGACAAATTATCACTATAGAGTATTTCCATGAGAAATATGTTTTTAAAATATACATGATGTGATATTAATTAATTATAAGTATACATAATTATATAAAGAGAGTACATATAATATATATAATGAGAAGATTATATCTTGCTAAATTATAACAAATTAAATTGTGCCTGGCAATTTCAATCAAAAGTCTGGAAGTGACTTCTACAGTCTTAAAAATTTGTTATTAAAGGTTGATAGGGAGGGTGTGTGTGTGTGGGCGGTGGAAATAGCCAGTTTTGCACAGGTATGCCATTAAGAAGACTAAAGATTAAAGTAGTTCTATGGGACTGTTACAAGTTTTAATGTTTCTATTTAACCTTAGAAGTCCATATCATGAATTCAGCCTCAAGTTACCTGATGGGTAGATTTGTCCAAGATAAAATTCAATCCAGTATCTCAGTCATCAAGTTTTGCTTTCAGGTTTTTGGTTTAGTTTCTTGGTTTTCTACTTTTTTTTTTTTTTTTTTTAAAGACAGAAGTATACTGTTTTACAGAACTTGCACTTTGTCTTAACAGAAAAAAAGACACAAGACTAAGATTTTCAACTGATCCTAATTATATTCTGTGCATCTAAGCCAACAGCAAAGGATACTTAAAAATAATAATCAACTCCGGATGCCATCTTCTTCATTCCACTTTAATTGTTTTTCTGAAGGCTATCTCAGAAGCAAAGCAAAATGCTGCTAACGTCTACCTATAACATATACACTATTACTTTTTTAAACTAGGGTTAAACTACCTAAAGCTGATCAAGCCACAAATAAAAAATAGCCATAACTGAGAAATCTTTCTACAAAGAAATATTTTAGAGCAGAACTACACAGTATTACAACACTGATAAATCTGGAACCCAAAATTTCAGTATAAACATCTTTAATTTCTAGTACATTACATATCTCAATAAAAGCTACACAGACTAAGAGGTACATAAATATTTCTTTGGATGTGCATAGAGTTATTTTTTTTTCCATTAACAGGAACAGAACATACCAGATAAAATAAGTAGTTCAATAATTTCTGCATCTCCCAGATAGGCAGCAGCATGTAAAGGGGTCCTTTTCTCATTATCCTGTGATAAGAGGGGGGAAAAAAGGTTTTATTTAAAATAAAAAAGTATGGTTTAGCATTCTGTATGAGTTATGAAAAAACACTGCATAAAAGTGCATCTTCCAAATATTGTACATTTTATATTTTAGAAAACATAATTACTCTAAAGATGGTAGTCACATTTACTAAGACAAGCATGCTTCTCCCTAAGGAACTCTTAATACCTACATAGTCAACTAGTGTTTCCCTAGCATACACAGATTGACAGATGCTCATCACATCTTTAGATTAACCCATCAGTTAGAAATCACCATTCACTTGTCTCCAGAGATGGGAACTTGAGGCTGTCCTACACAGTTAAAAACAGTGTGTCATTTTCATATGCAACAATCAGTGAGAAACAGTTTCTTTGAAAAGTTTAATGTTAGTTTCAGCAGTTATTTTTTAAATAGAAAATAGAAAAGAAGCTGGTGTGAGTAGGGGCAAAAATCCTGAAATCCATTGTCAACTGTTTTGTTTACTGTAACTAAGCAAAGAGAAGGTAGAGGTGCAATTTATTTTGCAGAAAACAATTTTGATTAGTTCAGGCTGATCTAAGGTCCTTTAGAAGGTGCAAATGAGAGAACTTACTTAGCCGTACATAATATATACTGATGAAAAGTCACTTTTGAAAGACTAGCACAAAATATTTCTCAACTCTTTCAGGCTCAGTGCCAATTTCCCTGCACCAGTTTATAGCTTAATCAAAAAAATAACATCACTTTCACATAACAGTGAGTGACAAAAATGACCAAGCACCAACCAATTTGCTCTCTGAGGGAAGGCCGCTGAGAAATCAGAAAAGAGACGGATTATCAGTTGGTATCCTGGTTCTGGCCTCAGCTCTGCTCAGATGTCTTGATCTTTTCAGTAGAGTTTCAAACTCATCAAGGGTGAGGGATCAAGATTATAAGCAGCAAGAAATTTTAAGTCGTAAGACATTTTTCTACTAATTCAACTGTTGTGTCACAACTATGGTAAAATTAACGCACATTTTAATTGACAATTTATTGTGAAAAACGTTCCTCTCCCTTGCCAAAATAACCTTATTCGGTTGGTGAAGCCCTACTTGAGAGCTAGTAGCATACAAGAAGAAAATTAAAGTTCATGGCCAGAGAGATCTGATAGCAAAACTAGAGCTGAGACCCAAGAAGTCACTTCTAAAACATAAAAGACAATTTCAGAACTTAGAACATTCAAATCCCCCCCCCAACACAAACCCCTCACTCAGAACAACCTACTCCCTGTTTAGTTCCTGCTAAGAAAAAGTCAGTTACAGGCACCATCTTATCAATGTTTCCTAACATAGTTTTTTTAATTACACACAAGTAATTCCAAACTGAGCAGTGCAAACCTGACATTGATGCATCCTGAATAAGGAATCAATACTACTTATCACTAATACCACAGAATGCCTCACAGTACTCAATTGCAGATTGCACATTTATGACAGAGATGACAGCCCCTGACATGGAGGGGAGCTTACCATCTTGGGGGGTTGGGGGGGGAATAAATACAGACAGACAAAAAGCACAAGGGAAAAAGTAATACACATATTAAATTTGCTTCCCCAGCCCAAAGGCAGTAAAGAGCAGCCAACAATGAAAATCAGTTTTCATTCCTCCAGTCTGGAGGAACAGAGGTACTATAGCTAGCTAATATTTTGCAACCTCATTTAAGCCTTTTTGATAATGCTAAAGGGCCTATAACCTACAGTTTAAGGAACACAGGAAAATGACTATGATATTATCCTGTCTGCAATTTCATTGTAGACTTAAAGAAAAAAAAAAAAAAATAAATAAACTGTTGAGCATCCTGAAACCACCAAGATACAAACATGAAAGCAGCTCAAACACAAGCAATGTTTCCACTCCAGCACTCCTATGTTTCCAAGCTGTGTTTTTCCAGTCATGCAAATATTTCAGTTTTGTTGCTCTGAAGCTGACTGAAAATATGCAAAACCCAACTTCCAGTTCTGCAGCAGGGAGTACGAACTGGGAGGGTATGTATGCAAAGGGCTGGTGGAAACTTCCCTGCTCGACAGCACCAGGGCAGCCCTGCTGGAACGCTCACAGCTTGTCGTCTTCTGGGCCAGCTCCAGAACTTGGTATTTGAAGAATCCCAAGCCCCGGGGTCTCCATCAACCACAAGTATTCTGCATGCTGAGGGTGCTTTGGCAGAAGCCCTGAGGGGTTCCCCCGCTCCCTAGTTTCACAGCTGGCACTTTTTGATCCTTCCAAACATTTTTTTTTTTTGTAATTTAACTTTTCTGTGAGAAAGTTTTTTGGTTCAGTGTATAAAAACCTGCTTTCAGAACTTCTTACAAAAGCAGAAATGCTGCATTCAGCAAACTCTCATCAGTATGCAAAAGTCTTTGCTTCCATTAAAAGAAAATTCTAATTTTGCTCCATCTGAAGTCTTAAATTTTGTTGGTGAATTTTAATAAATGAAACCTGAGTAAAATTAAAGAGAATTCTGTATTTTAAATGCTGGTAAAATACTGCTATACAGATCAGCTACTTTTTTGTTAAAAAACAGTAATCACTTGCTGAACAAATTTCATCTGCAAATAGGAACTACTGCATATAAAGCATTACAGTAAATAAGACTAACCAAGCTTTCAGTTTTAACAAGCAACTTTGGAAGCACACATCTTGCAGCACTGATATATCATACTAATATAAACACTGGCCGTAATGGGTTCCTTTAATTGATAAACTTAAGTGACACTACAAGAAACATTTCAAGAGAGAAGGGTGTTTGTATATAGAAGTCACTGTTACGCAGACTGTAAAAATCTAACACTGTTGGTACTACTTAATTCCAAACATCACAGTATTACTGCAGTACTGGCAACACAAAAAAGCAAGTGTTGTGCCATCTTCATTTTCCAACTGCAAAATCTGCAAGGCAAATGGGACTATTACACCTCTAAATCGGCTGTAATCTTAGCATTTAGGCAGGTTTTACACTGTTGAAAGAGAATGTTGGTATTCTAGTAGAAACAACAAAGAAATTTATATTCCTAATAAGAAACTCCAAAGTTTAATTCCAGATATTGGAAACTAAAAAGGAATAAAAGGGCTCAGTCCTTAAGGAATCAGTTTTCAGGATGACAGTTCTGTGTCACAAAAACTCCAACATCATATTTATCTGTGCCTTTGGATTGCATTACATAAAAAAAACCCCATATAATCCTTCAACTCGCAGTACTTCCATTTTTCAAGTTTCCCAAACGTTTCACCTACACATGAGTTTCTATAAGGATTACAACATGAGCAATAAATAGGAGAAGGCCTTATGACTCTGTTAAAATCAGTTTTGGAATAAAGTGAGAGGGATAGTGGTGCTGCACTGGAACAGGTTGCCCTCAGAAGTGGTAGACACCCCATCCCTGGAAACACTCCAGGTCAGGCTGGACGGGGCTCTGAGAAACCTGATCTAGTTGAAGATGTCCCTGCTCATTGCGGGGCGGGGGGTTGGACTAGATGGCTTTTAAAGGTTCCTTCCAACCCAAACTATTCTGTGATTCTACAAGCTTCTTCATAACTCCCCTCTACTTTACCAATCCTAGAACAAGGGTAATGCCACCTTTGTTTTATCTTAAGCATAGGCTTTAGTCTTGCTAGTTATTTCATGGATCAAAACTTCTTCAATGGACAAATCTATGGCTGATTTAAACATGCAGCATTCAAATCCACCTCTTTTTAAAGTAGTAAGTATTCTTTGAGATATAACAATTTATTCCACGTTTGGGTTCTCTCTCAGCAATTGACTTTGAATAACTATATCTAACTACAGAGAGTTTTAAGGAGCTAGATGCCTTAAAGGCAGATCTCTGGTATTCTGTACATATCCAGTAAGACTGCCATATCCTGACTACGGCTTCCCCAGGAGTACAACTTCAATACAACTTCAATTTGCCTTTCAAATAGTTCAACATCTACTGATTCGAAATCTTTGAATTAAAGTATTTTTCTGGAAAAGCATGAATGCAACTTCCCCCTTCAAAAAAACTCCTCTTCATGTTATCTGCTCTTCAAAACCAAATTTTGCAATAACACTTTAAAATACTCTCATTATTTCATGATCACACTTACAAAATTTCATTTAATAGGTGTTTTCTGCTGTATCACTTGTCAGCTGTCTGCTTCAATACCATCTGTTCCTGGCAGAAATCAACCCCAAATACACAATCATAAATCTTGAAAGAATTTCAATTCCTACATACCCTGTAATATCTTTAATAAACATCTCCTGTAAGTGAAACTATTTTTAAATCTAACACTTCACTTAGTTTGTTTTCCAGTTAGGTTAGAGAGATGCGACTATTCAACCAGTATGAACTGTAAATCCTGTGTTCACAGATAACGTATAAGAACACAGTAACAAAAAATATCCTATTCTTTGACAGTGTCCATCACCACAGAGGTCTCTCCCAGTGTGAAGTCCGAGTGCTACACTTGAGTCACTAGAACACTGAATTTTGCCTGCACATTTTGCTACAGTTTTAGAACTATCATTTTGTAAGGTAGAATAACTGTCTACTCTAAGTAATTTTATTTTGTTCCTCCACACTAAAAAGAATACATTTAAAGTATTTGGCTTTTACATTCCAACTTTAAACTTCACAAAAGTATAGTTCAGGTACAGAATTCTATAACTGAGGCCACTAACTCTTTGGAAGTATGTCCAACCACAAAGTGGTATCTTAAAAACACATAACTTAAGTAGAACTTGAAAATTAGTTGCATTATTGTCAACTGAAAGCAGAAGAAAAGATTAAGTATTAGGCTTTCAAAACTCCTAAATCTGTGACTAATTAATCTCATATCCCTATCTTGAGTGTATTTAATCTTCTAATTTTTTTTATTTTTCCCCAGTATTTAACTCAATTCTCAGAACTTCACATTGTCAAAAGTGTAACAAATTTCTAACTGATTTTGGCTAATATTTTTAGAAGCAGATCCCTATTTTCTCACC